ACCCTACTACTACAACTCTGAATAATTCACTGCCTCCTGTATAGACAAGATTTTATCACTAAAGTTCCTGCACAGGTCCTACCTCTTCTTCCTCCCTGGCGGCACTTTCCAAGCCTTGATCTGACTGAGTTTGTTGTCTGATAGAACCACTTCAAGAGGAAAATCTGGCACCCAGACTCTAAAATTTAGTTCTTGTGAGAAGGTCCCACATGACAGAGTGATAGTGACTTGATCACTCCCTGTGCTCTCTGTGCCGTCTAAATACACATCAAGGCAACTGCTGGACACCTAAAACAACCAAGAAATAAACAAAACATAAGCCTAAGGCTTCGTTCACATGCAATGTCTATTTTCTAAATTCTATATTCTATTCGCGCTATCTTATGATCACGGTCTGTGCCCTGAATATCCCGCCGCGTAATTACTGGCAGCGCGAGCCAGTTACTTATAGTAACTTATAGTAACTGGCTCGCGCTACCAGTAATTACGCCGCGGGATATTCAGGGCACAGACCGTGATCATAAGACATACCGCAAATAGAAAATAGAATTTAGAAAATAGACACTGCATGTGAATGAAGCCTTAGTTATTATTATTCTGTTACAAGTGACATAAATCAGAAATTTGCCAAAGCCATCTTGCATTTAAAAAACAATGTTTCTCATTACATACATGTACAAACAAAGTCAAAAGAAGACTACTTTTTTAATGATATCTGAAACATAATGTTGTCTGGGTTTTCTGAAAACAATTTTTTAACAAAATGATGAAAGTGTTGTAAGTCTAGACCCCCCCTTAACTTGCGTACAGTTGTGTTTTTCTGCAGCTTCTAGTAGACTGTCAGAAAACTGAACTTTTGTCTGACTGAAGTTGCAAATGCAGCAATTATTAGCTATGGGATGCCTCTTGGCACTATCTTTCAATCCTTTCAAATACAAGGTTGGATAATAGAATTTATCACATTGCTCTCAATATGACAATCAATATCTGATATTATTGCAACCAACCTTAAAAATAATTGAACATTGTGCTTTGCAAGATCAATATTTAGTTTTTCATTAACAAAGCACTGATTTGATTATGGATACAAGAAAAAGGCATCAGCAATCAACGTTGTATTGAAATCAATGAAATGAAAAATATCCAGCTGCTACAAGTTGCCAATCAGAACTACATTCAAAACAACATGAAATGACTACAAGACATGGGGCTTTTTTTCACAGGCAAAATACATTTTCCTAGGATTAATTCATCATTCAGTTTAGATCACACTGTAAAAAACATTTGGAGTTTCAAAAGTACTTTAACAGTCTTCTCAGCTTTTACATAAATTAATGAATAATGACTGTCGGTACCTCTTTCACTTCATATTATCAAACCATTTTTAATCGCACACAACTTGTTTCAATGGCATAGATAAAGTTATTGACTGGTTCATTGGTCGTGCTAAAACCTTCTGGACTAATTGGTCTCTTTATGTTTTAAAACAGAGCTGTAATCAATATCTTTCTTCTATCATGAAAGCCCACACAGGTCAGATCACAGGTGTAGTTTAGTTTTCAACTCGGCGCTAATGCCAACCAGAAAGATATCTATTGGGAATAAACTGGTAAAATCGCTGTTGGAAATGAGCACATTTGGACCATCTCTAGAGGAAACATTTCCTGTAAGCTTTTACACTATAATGGAAATCAACATAACTGTGTAAAGTACCCCTGGAAAAAGCTGCGATGTGGTGGCACCCAGTGGAATGGATTTCTTCGGTAACAACTGCTTGATGCTCTCAGGGCTCAGAAAGATCGATTCTCATGTATACAACATACTATCTAAAACACTACCACTTGAATAACACAAGATGAAGAACAAAAAGCATTTTTCTATGAGATTAGGCCAATTTCTTAAATCTCAAAGCACATGATCGCATGTGTGCTTGTGCCAGGGATTGTAAATGGGCTCAATACCTTAAGTACTGAGCTGAAAAAAACTTTCATCCAGGGGCATCTACTTGCCATCCAATAATGAATACTTTTCCTCACCACTGATATATTATGGTTCTCAAATTATCATACATATTATATTATGAGAACAATGCATAATCTTTCAAAGCAACAACAGAATCAAAACAAAAGTTGTGTAAAAATGTATCTGTACTACATGTACTCACCTTTAATGCATCAGGCATATTAGATACACAGGTACAGGTTGCCCTGATGTCTTTAACAGTACCTCCTTTGCTCACACCAAAGACATTCAGGGGGAACATTTGCTGCTTTCCAGTTAAAATGGCAGTATTGATCAGTTCTGTGTTCTGTAATGAAAAAAAAATACTTTAAAATATGTATGTTTTTCTCACCAACCCTAAAATCTTGATGCTTTTAATAACATATTTTAGTAATTATTCTCTAAATTAAACAATATCAACAAAATCCAAATAACAAGAGCAAGTTGTTGTGTATGAGTTTTCTTGGGGCGTATTTGGCAAATATGCATAGATATACTGCACTTCCTCCCAAAAATCCATTTTCATTCCATTCTAATTTACCAAACCATATTATCTCACGCTGTTTCTTATTCAAGTTCTGTATTGAACACCATTACTGAAAATGTGCAGTTATTCATCTCCCTTCTGCTAGTCCCCAAGATATAAATGTTAGCACATGCTTCACCTACTGCCATATATTAACCCAATATGCTGTGGCATTTGGATTATTTGGACCTCAGAGTGAAAAGAGGTGGTTGAAATCAGTCTGACTTGTGATCTGAGGTACAATAAAAATAAAGTATTTTAAGGCTGTTGAAGTCTAGCCAATGGTAACAACCTTAGATTACTTGTATATAAGTTTATTTTGATTTCAACCTCAGTTATTCTGTCTTAGCCAAGCCATGTCGGTACACAACATATCTAAAGTCTAAAGCACTGGTAAAGTCAAAATGGCCGTAGAATGCCCACTTTCAAAACAACCTCAATTTATAATGGCCACAGGGGTAAAACTAACCATCTCTACTTAAGTAATACAATCATTGTGAAAAGACCTTTTCATTCTCAAATACACATTACATAGCATGCTGAAATTGATAGTTCAAGTGTACCTCTCCACAATAAAAGAGAGAGAGAGATTCAGGTACTAAAGGACACTTTAATGGCACTGTAACATGAATAGGAGCTTGTGGTCCCTTTGAAGCTCCATACTTATTGTTAATGAGTATTTATGTATTTCATCTTCTTTTGTCATGATAGCTCTTGCACTGTCATTATGATTAAGCATGCACATTTTCATGTCTAGCAAATTCAGGTGCATGACAGTACTTTATTCATGAATATATTCCAAGCCTACCCATTAATATGCACAGGATCCATATATCTTTATGCCTGGTTAAAATATTTTCAATTTTATAGCCCATAAAACAGAATGAAAGGTTTATCTGTAAGAGGAATGGAGAGCTTGAGGTTTAAACTCCCAAAGACTAGCTATAGGCTAATCAGCTGGTTTTTATGTTCAGTATATAAAGCTCAAACAGAAATGAGATGACAATGACCAAATCTGAACAGAGGGTATGCTAAACGACATGCAGGTGATAGTATTTATTAAAACAGTCTACCTCTCTATCTACCTTTAACAGAACAGTAATCACACATAAAAATAGAATATTATAAAAAATAAAATTAAAAAAGGCAAAAAAAGTGTTGAGCCAAATATAATTTAAGATATAAATTATATTTTTGTTATAATATACTAAATACTTCCCCACTTACATGTGTCACTGGAATAACTGTTTGTTCAGTATCTGGATATAATGGAATTCTAGCAACCACTCTAGCACTCCAGTTATTTCTTTTTTGCCTATGCTTCTTCTTTGCTTTAATAGGATTCTTATATTCAATGCCAAAGGCAAGTCTTCCTGTCTGCTCATCTTCAAAATCATCATCCACTTTCACTGTGAAACGCAAAACCTCTTGAACACTGAAATTTCAAATGGTATAGGAATTCATATTTATTATAATATTTAACACCCCTGTTTAAAAATACTATTACAATGCAATATCAGAAACACAAGTAACAGGGAAAACAATGACATGAAAAAAAGTCAGGGCATGGGGATTGATTTTAAATTTCATAAAAACTGACATTTAAAAAAGGTGCGCCTGTAGAAATTCTCATATATGATTTACATACTGCTAAAGTCACCCACATTAAAAAATCTGAGGTGAAATAAGTCTAGTTGAAACATGGAACAAAAAATATTAAAGCAAAACCCACACACATTTTTCATGTTCCCCCTTCAATTCCAACATACCATATACTAATATTAATTGAAACAACTTAAAAAGTTTTTTTAAGTAACAATCAGAGGTACAAAAGAGCTTTTTCCATTGTTGCATTCCAGGTCAAGTGCCCTAGTGCTGAAATTGGATAGGAGAGTTTACAGAAAGACCCTTCAGTCTGGCCCTGTCAATAGTTGGAAGAAGCATGTTATGAATACAAACAACTTGAGACCACATACTGCAGAGCCAGGAATGAGGAGAGAAGAAAAAAGAAGGGTGGTAGAATAACAAGCTTAAGAGTTTCTACCTGACTGCAATTTAATTTTGTGGACTACTGCACAAATATAATCTTAATGTTTCCCCAAATGCATTGTTCCTTCCTACTTTTAGGAGATGAAGTGATGAAATATGGGACTTTTCAAACCTGTTACAGAGTTGAGGTGTCTGACTACAAGTTGATTAGAAAATGCAATGATTGATTGATCTATTCCATTTGGACACAATCTATCATATTCGATTCAATGGCTTCCATTTCTCCTAAATATTAAATAACAAAGTAAGTCATGCAAAATGGCTGGACTATGATACAAGAAACTTAACAGCAACTCTTGAAATTAATGCAGACAAAAAAGGTCAACACCTCTGACACTAAGGAGTAAACAAAAAGCTCAACCGTCTTTTCTCTAAAGCCTTTCAGTGTAGGTAATGGTCCATAGACCAGGGAATGAAATATTAACAGGGTCTAACACTCCCATTTAGTAAGATTAACCCTCTTATTAGATGGAAATGGATTCTGTGTTATCAATATTCCTTCACACCTGCACTGTTGTCTACAGTTACAGGGACATTTACTGTTCATTTAGATAAATATTTGTAGCGCAAATGCTCAGTTGGTTTATATCTTCTATATATTCAACATGCCCAAGAATGCCGCATGACAGATGGACAACCAATATCCACACGTCTAATGAACATTTTTCCTGCAGCTGAGCCCCCTTAATTCCCTCAGATAATTCTAATTCTCTGCTGTTGAGAAAGGTTCTACGATCAATTGAGTATGTTTGTTTTAGCATCAGATAATGATAAGGAAAGCCCATCTTACACTGACCATATTGATAGGATTGAGTAAAGTAAGATACATGGACTTATGAGTTATATCACACTCCTTTACATCTTCCTATAATCATCTGCGTCACCTGATAATCCTTTTTAAAGAATGGCAACTTTACCATGCAATTTACAAAACCGCTCCCCTCTCATCATTTAAAGACTACCCCTTCAGTGGCCAGCTTAAACCAGAAAATATGAAATGACCCAAGTTTGCTGACTTATAGCAATCAAAATGAGTTCTGTTACTATCTATGGATCCCAGTTCATACTGCAGAGAATTAGGCTCCTATTTTGCTAGAAATGTGCAATGTATATAGTCTGTCTGGAAGCCAGTTTACATAGATTTACAAACATGTATAAATCAAGCAAGCAAGCAGCCCCAAGTAATGAAACATGCCTTGATGATGGAAAACACATAAGGTATCAAGGGAACCAATTCCCAATGGAAGCTGAAGGACATTAGAAAGTTAAGAGATGCATGAAAAAAAGAGAGAAAATTATCTCCCTCTGACTTGTAGCATGAATAATGTATTTAAGTTGATGGTCATCTCAAACTAAACACAAAAAGTACTAGGATTATATAATAAAATAAGAATTATTAGTGACAAGAAATTATAATTCCACAACTTACCTTGACTTCTTCGTGTAATGTTCTGCATCTTTGACAAATGCTGTAACCATGCCACTTTTATGCTTGTGGTTCAAACTGAGCTGCACCCTCCAAATACTAGGGTTTGAGGACTTGGCATCCAGAATTCTAAGACCTTTTCTTGCTTTTGTGCTGTAATGAATATACAAATATTTCAGTCAAAAAACAAAAGATAAAAAAAAAATTACTTAGATAAAGCAATATTTATACATAACACCAACTGTTGAAATTTAATTTCTGATAAAAAAGTAAAAATGCTTAAATCCAAGGTGAAACACTTACTGTATAGAAAAGGCTCTAAGGTAGGACTCTGCCTGTAATAAGACTGGAACTTCAAAAGTGGCTCCTGCAGGGAAACCTTCTGTGGGAATATCAATGACTAGTAAATCCCCCTGGACCCTACGGTATCTCACATCCAGGGATTGCGCAGAGGGTTTATTGGGAACTAAAATCACAGATGAGAGAAAATGCTTCTGTATGTGTAAAACATCCTCTTCTTTAGTTTTGCTGGGCAGGATTGAGTTTGTAGCACTGACACAGGGAGAATTAATATCCACTGTGTGGAGAGAATGGTAGACATTTGCTGTGACAGTTGAATTATTCCACCATGCTGTTGGCAAACTGAGTTTTAATAAACATAAAGGATCATCCTCTTTGATCTCGCAAGAGGAGGAAACTTCACTCAAGTCTTTCTGTACATAGACTGATAAGCACCACTTTTGTCGGTTTCGAGTCTTGTACTTGTTTCTTTGGCTTCCATGACTAGCATGGGAAAGCACCAAAACTGTAGCAGAATTGTGTGGTATCTCCTTTCTGATGATGTGAACACTGACATCCATTCCTGGAAAAAGCAGTCCTGCCGGCTGTTGGGCTGATGCATTGGTTTTATTGGCATAGAAATGTGGTGTGGAGCCCTCTGCAATAAGAGGGCCATAGCTAGCCCTTAAGGTGGCCACTTTGCCTGCCGTCGGCACCACAAACAGTTCCTGCTGGACTTGGCGGTCATGATTGTTCTTTTTGAGTAATGGTGACTTGACAAAGTAACCATCTCCCAGATGACTGAAAGTGACATCAACAGCCTGGGACAAACCTGAAAAACACAAACAAAACTTTTAAAAATGCCACCTCTGTTGCGAGTAATTTTATAACCTTCTAAAAATCTGTCTAGCGTCAATTCCCAATTGCCTTTAAAATACAACTTTCAAATATAATATTATATAATACTATACAAATTTAACTTTCATCCACACCTGATATTCTCTTGACACAGTTGGCCTTTTTGGAAAGATTGTAAACAATTTAATGTTAAAACAACTTGAAATCAAACTTTTCATTTGACATAATTTTAAAACCTGAAGGTACGCATATAGTTTTTGAAAATTATTACATATGTTTTATTACAGTGGGGCACAGCTAAAAGATATAAGTTCTAATTCAGCTTCTGAACTGATATCCACACCAGTATATTTGAACTCTAGCCATATATCTTCCAGCATTAATCAGGCATCAGGTTCCAGGTCCTATTGAATGCAACACAAAACAACTCAAACCAAGGCAGATAAGGGGCGCTTTACTTGAATTATTTATGATCACCAGTCTCCTTTTAATGAGAAGCAATCAAGAGCAACTAGAGGAAGGAAAACCACTGCCTAAACATAATGCTCCTAAAGAAATATGAGACAGACACTTAATAGCATAGGACAAGAGTACAAGTATATGGTTAACTGCATGAAAATTGAAAGGAACTAATTAAATGTGAAACAATTTAGAACTGATCAAAGAGCTTTATAACCCAGTATTTGAAAAACATCAAAAATTGTGCTCTGTAATGGAGATGAACCCTTTAAGTGAACTGTCTGTCAGGTGTAATTAGAAGGTAAAATAACCAGCTTGCCTAGCCCCTACTTCCAACATAGCTATGTTGTTCTAATACCACCCCTAATCAATTCCTCCTTGGGGTGTGTAGATGAGACTGTTTGCTCATACAACTTCTAGATTAGCCTTAAATACAAAATTAAACAACCATGACCTGATTTTGCAGTAATCTCTATCTCTTAAAACTTCTATTACTCTTATCACACTGGTTAGAACCGTAAGAATCAAACGGAAACCGACTGGTATCCTACTGATCAAAGCGAATTTGTGAAGAGATGGTTCATCAAATGGAAAACTGTAAATATATAATAATTTGTCATTGACCACTGTATTTTTAACTTTACTGCCTACACGTGTTAACGAAATCAAGACTCAAATGTTTTCTAGTGAAAAATACTCAGATGATCAAAAATTACTAAATTCTCCCTACATCAACTTAAAAGTTAAAAAGCTGAAGGAAGACATAATTTTAATTAGTATTCAATCTTTACAAATGAAATTCATATTAAAAAAATAAATACTTTTTTTATTTTTTCAAAACTGTATCATTATATAAAAATCCAAAGAAAAATGCTCCACAGAATTTTTTACAGGTATCAACTTTTTGTACCATATCTGCGATTATAATTCCAACAAATAGATACATAAATTAACAAAGTATATTTATCATACAAAGTCATAAATTTGCAATAATTGATTTTCAACTTGACTCCTTTTGACTTGATCACATCATGCAAAACCAATAGTGCCTTATTCAACTACGCTAATAAAGGACAACACACTTGAAGACGATGTTCATTAAACGGTCTAACGTGTTTCCTTACTACACGCCGACGCTTCAGATAACGTATTTCACACATTTAATACAATATCACTGGATACAATAATAAAACGGTGATTTCCCATCATCTTTTATAAGACAAAACCCACATAATACAGAGCAAATACCATGCGCAATCTAGTTATTTGGGGAATGCTCTGACTTTATGTTATAACGAACGAGTTGCATTTTTAAGCAGACGAACTACAGAGGATTAACTGCAGTCTCTGACAAACAAATAATACACTCACCCAGCAAAGCTGATGTCCAGAGATATGCCCAAATCGGCCACAGATCAGCCATTCCAATCCATCTGGAGCAGACACCTCCAGTAAGATTCAAGATGATCAAGCAACTTAACTTCCCCTTCACAACATTCCTCGCCTCGCCAACATCGTATTCTGCCTGATCACTTGCACTCAACCTGAATGCTAAGATATGATAAACACATGTGCAAGTAGTCCACGCACCGGTCCCATGTATCCTTGCGCGAATGGAAAAAGGACCAAAATAGTTCATTTCATATGCCCACTTTGAAGCATATATGCTCCATTCATTCAAATTTTTACTACTCTTGTGGTAATGAACCTTATTTTGTCAAATGAAACAATGAATCCAACATGCAGACAAAATATGAACATGTTTTTCATAATAATCTTACTTTCATTATAAACTATGCTGCTGCTGCCATCTTTTATCAAAACACGCAGACTTGGCACTGCAGCTAGTTGCACAGTAGAGTTAAAACGAATTTTTTCAGTGATTTCCCCCGCCAAATAGGATTTTCCTCAAATAAAAAGCAATTTTGCTCAACTATTTGTTCGACTCATCCCTGCACTTTGATTTGACCGTTTATACATTTTGAATAATAATGAATATTATTATTATTATTATAATAATTATAATAAATATAATAAATTCAGTTCTGAATACCTGGCAAGTAACTGACACCACTTGCCGTCCTCGACATTTTGGAAGGAAATATCGACATCAAGTACTTTTCTTTGATGTATGTTATCATTTTTACGATCTGAATTTACAAAGATAATTAGTTTTGCAGGATATGTAGACATACATGTAGAAAATACGATTTTGGTGCATTTCCAAAAATCAATAATATATTCCCCTTCTTATATTATTAGACGGAAAAAAATATCAAACGAGAACAAATCTGTTGTATCCCGTTACAGTCAAATACCTAAAAGGGCAATTTATTCCACTTAATATTGCAGATTTTTGATGGGTCAAACAAAATATATGACCATGCAGGCCGATTTATTAGTTGTTCCTTCCTCGCCCCCGCTTAGATATAGAATCTTTAGCACCCCAAGCATCTTTTTTCAACCACATCAGTCCTAAGCTAACGTAGTGTATTTGTTAATTGCGCATTTTCCGTACGCATTCGTGTGTAAAGATTCAGGCTAAACATCAGGTTAACTATTTAATTAAAACGGAAAACTGAAAATGCAATTTAACAAAGCTTCTTACAAGTGAAGTCCGATTTGAAAGAATCGAATCTGAAAATGATTTTACATTTATATGAAGCGAGCATTAGAGAAAACTCACTGACGGTAACTTGTCTCCACTGTCAGCATGTAAACATGTGATTGATTGTTTGTGGTGCTTCTTATACTGTTATATGTGTACTGGTACATAATAGAAAATAAGAAAACATATTCTCCTGGTAGCAAATACAGATACGTCTGGTAACGTAATGCTCTCTGTAACCTATATCAGAATGAATATAGTTTGACTTGGTTTGATTGTAAACTGCATATACATCCTGAAAACAGAGATGAGTTTGTTAGAAATTCTGAAACCCAGGGTGAACAGTATTTGAAAACAGTGATTAACTATTTATTATTATTATTATTATTATTATTATTATTATTATTATTATTATTATTATTGTTTTAAAAATGAATTGTTTTAAAAATCGCATTTGGTTGGAAAAAAGGGGTTAGAATGACAGCTGCAAGTGTAACATGATTTTTCACATAGCATAAGAAAGAAATTTTATAGGCCAGTGATACACACATTGTTTTATTGATTTATATTAAAGTAAAAATGTATAAATATTGGAGTGTTTTCATTTTCACAATAATCCACAGCGTTTCCCCTGCCTTGGACCGGAAGCAACTTGACTTTACACACTCATGACGTAAAACACATTATTGCCTGTTTTCCTTATATGGAATGCAAATTGAATTGAGCATGCGCAGTTTTAACCAAAATAAAGTAAGATGGCGGGCATGCTGTCTCTCCTTTTCGATGAATTACGATAAAATTTTACCTCACTTTAGTGCGATGGCAACGCAGAAACCGGGTGAATGGGTACAATCGCTCATAACCCGGTTTGACAATCAGGTGAGTGAAAAATCTGAACAGTTAACGGCATGTCCTTCAAGAAATAGGCTGTAATATTGGGAGGACAATTTATGAATGGATATTGACCTTCATTCATAAATTTGTAATGATTATCATATGTTTCAACAAACCGAAAATGTCACCGTGGCTGTAATTCAGTGCATTTGTGGGCCTGATAGATGTCGTGTTCGTCTTTTCGTGTAGTACATAGTCGTTTACTTTTTACGACTGACAACCTAAGGAAGTGGATTGTTAAATTAACCACCTACGTACCCGAGTATTATTTCACATTCATAAGCTTTGCAGTCTGCACATGCATCAACGTCAGATATAATTTCTGTTGTGCTAAGATGAGTTATATCCAGTGGCATTATGCCGATAATACATATGCTGGCTGCCATAACGGTTACACCAATGTTTATTGTTTGCTTTGCCTCGTTATGTCTTTATTTAGACTTTAATGTAGGTTATTGTGTACCTTGGCATAAGAAACTCGAATATATGACGTTATTGTTGTTTTCTTAATTCTGAAGTCTTATATTTTAAATAATGTTGAGCCCTAATGCCAGTGGATAGTATGATGCATTCATGAGAGAGGCAATATTACTGTAATGAAAAAGAAAATAAATAATATAAGATTTTATGGTCTCATAAGTTATTAAAATGGTATTTTGCCTGCTTATTATAATAAACATGTTTATTTACAAGTGGGTATTTAAAATTGTAGGACAGTGAATAGAATTGGATAAAGCTACTTTGCTACCACTTTCTTTGGTTAACTTTAAATAATAAAGAAAGCATTTTCCACCATCAGATAACCAGCTGCTAACCAACAACAAACATTTTGTAACATAAGGTGATGGTCAGTCAGGTTGGATCTGGGAAATTTAGAGTATTTTAATTTTATGATGCAAAACATACAGGATGTCAGTGTATTGCAGTAGCAATTATTTTCAGTTTGCCTGTGCATTTATAGGCATATTTTATCCCTGCCAGTTACCCCTCTTTGATACAATGAAAGAATATTCCCCACATACAGATATTGATAAATTAATAGTTCTATTTATTAAAGTGTAATGAAAGTGACCTGCAAGTTTATTAGAAACCATGAGGCAGAGCCATATGTTTTGATTAATCTTCAGACAATAATAAGATATAAGGAAATTAGATTCATAAATTTCAGAACCAGACCTTTTTGAACTAACTGCTGACAATTTTTATCTCACTTTTTGAGATTTTGGTCACACCTGATTAGACAGTTGGAATTGACCCTCTTCCTAGTAGCTGTATCACTAGCAAGATTTACTTAGTGAAAAAAGATGCATCGTAATTTTAGATCTAACATCCTTATAATATTGATATTTTTTATCCATGATGATAAGGTAAATATCACTTTTGTATTCCTATGTTTTAGTTGCCCATCCGCACTGGCCAGCACACCACCCAATCAATCCAGAATGTGGAACAGAATAAGGAGTGTCTGATTAATGTCAGCAAATACAAGTTCTCCTTGGTCATCAGTGGACTGACCAATATTCTCAAGAATGTGGACTCCATGGTAAGAGATGACGTTCTGATGTCAGATTTATGAGTTGATAGTTTTTACTTGATTGTTTAATGTTTTTTTTAAACATTTGGAATCACAGTTGTTTGTTTGTTTGAAATCATTGGTAAAACTTTAATTTGGGACAGATTTCTTTTCTGTTTTTTTTTCTGAAATTCACTACTAGTCAAACACTAGATATTTAGGAAAGCATTTGCAATATCTGGTTTTAAAGGGAATTGTTTTTTTTTTCTCTGTTTTCCACAGCCTTATTACCTATATAATGCATTACATAAAAATAAAATAGAACAGCTTTAAAGTGCTAGATAATTTTTAGAAGTTAAGTTTCTTGTTAGTTTGAATAAAAGGTAACTATCGTAATTTAAACTTTAAGTCAGTTTTCTGTTGGTTTTCTCCTTCAATATTATATTAATTAATGTGTGTGGGCTGTTGCTATAGAAATGATTGCTTACAAGACTTCCTTTATTGATTATTTGGAATAGAATACTGCCGACACACACAGTTCAGTATGACAGAGCTAGCAGCTAGTGATTTACATTTTACAAACCTTTCTTCTGAATTTTCAATATGCTACTGTATGGCATAACAGTCTGTGTTTGTTATTGTGTGCTATTGTTTAAGGAATAAAATGGGTGTATCCCTTTGTCGGTTGTTCAAAAGATAATTAATAACTAAATATTATTTGTCAGACCTGTAGATTGGGCTGGGGGGGGGGGGGTGGAGACAGAAGTGTCCTTTTGGTCAGAAAAGGTCCATTCCTAATGAAAATTTGATGAAGGTTATACCATTTCTCATTAGGTCAGCTAAAGGCACCCTGAGCTTCAGAGATAACTTGACACTAACCTCTTCACTATAGCCTATCTTCATCGTGTCAAGTTACCTCTGACCACATTCGATTGCCTCCGCCGCCCGCCAATCAAATTTAAAGCCCACACTCAATGACTCATTGAACGATCTAGCCAATGAACGCTAACGAGTCAAAGCGCGCTTTGTTCAAATCCAGACCAATCAAAGATAAGGCTGAATATCAGGGACATCATCCCTCAGTAGATAATGATGCAGGGCCTCAAACTGCTCTGGTTTCAATTCCGATATACTCATATTTTGCAAAGAATCAAGAGATAACTTAGATATAGATAAAGATATAGATAGAGATAGAGATAACTTAGTCACTCGTAGGAGACGCCATGCTTTCTTTGTGTACGGTTATGCACTCGGAACTACTCGGATGTCTCCGCACTTCGTTGTTAGTATGGAGCTTGCGGAATCAGCCGAGGATTGCCGATTGACGGTCAACCAATCAGCGTTTTCACCAAACTTTGGTGAAAAATATTGAAACTTGGATTCGATTGGCTTATATAAACTAGGTCCAACTATTTTCATCAGAGGTAACTTGACACGATGAAGATAGGCTACAGTGAAGAGGTTAGTGTCAAGTTATCTCTGAAGCTCAGGGTGGCTAAAGGGGTAAAAGATTCACTTTTTCAGAGAAAAATCACCATCCCTCTTGAAATTGCTGGAAAGAGGCATGTTTGATGTAGATAAAAACCAAATAGGTTCAATTAACTGTATAAAACAATAAGACAATGAAAGCTGCCCTTAAATTATAATTTTTTTCAGATCTAATCAAAATGATAATTTTTGCTGTATAAGTCTCCATTAATGCAGAAATGTGTTTGTATTTTTTATTAGCACATTAATAAAATGCAAATAAACTTAAACATATTTCTCTCTTTTTCAATCAGTTTAAAACTGCTTTATTGATAGAGCACAACAGATTTTGAAGATGTTGATTGGAAAGCTATGTTTACAAGTTTTAATTCTTTAGATTTTCCTCACTCATTCTTTACAGTTGTATAAACACTGCAATCTTGTTTCAGAAAATATATGGACCAGAAGCAGAGAGGAATTTCTATGATTCACAGCTTATAATTCTAGAAACTCTAGAACAGTGTTTAAATGGAGTAAGTACATTTTAAAGATTTTTACATAATTTGTGAGTTGTAGTTTGATATTTTGCATGTTTCTATTTCTCATTCATGTGGTTACAAAAGAAACAGTAGTACAAATTATGACAGATTGTTTTGGTACACTTTTATAAAAATTAACAGATGGAGATGGTGTCTGCAATGATTTTGATCTAGCTCTTATCTGATTTCAATCTAAGTTTTAGAACTATGTTGTTATTCATCATTCCAGCAACCAAAGGACACCTCCCGTTTGGATGAACAAATGTACGTCAAGCTGTTGCTGCCAGAGATCTGTAAAGTAAGGAATTCCTGGAATGAACAGTGTGATGATTAATTTTTAGTGATTCATTGAATTATTTTTCAATCAAAAACAAGAATGCTGTCAAAATATCATTCATATAATTATTGTAAAAAATTAAGATGATAAGCTGAATGGTTTGGTAAATGTCAGTCTATCTATGTTTTCCCTTTTTGAACTATATATGCATATTTTCTTCTAGTTTTTGAACTTGCCAAGTGACACCCCAGTTTTGAATCAGTTGAAGCACCTATCTTCCAAGGTTCTGTTTGCTCTGAGCCTCAACAACTTCACAGCTGTCTTCAACAGGATTTCAGCCAGGTATGTGGCAAAGCAGGAATGGAAATAATCGAAAAATGACACAGATGCTACAGGATTACAAAGCTTACCTTAGGCAGAACATTTTTATCAAATGATAATTTAGTCTTGAAAGAAAATGAAAGTGTTTGAACTGTTATTTGCCATATTGCCAGTCTTTGATCTCTATTTAAAAAAAGAATATAATTCTTATTATATATTTTTTGTTTTCATTAAAAGATTGAAGTCATCCATATACTTTTTCAAAAAGAATTGTTTTATATACTAATTTTTCTTTTGTTTTGAGATTTTGATGTTTTGAATTAGATTAGGGACAGAGACAGAAATATTGATGTAATATATGTTTTGTTTCCACATAGATTACATGCCTTGTCGACATCTAGTGAAGATGTGTCGGATACTACAGACCTTGAGCTCATCCAGCACATAAACGTGGACATGCACAGGTTGATCAAGTTATTGGCAGGTAGGCAGAGTTGAGGGAGGTGTAACTGAAGATTATCATTGGCCCTTAGGGGTGGTTTCTCTTAAAAAAATGCCTGAAAATGGGTCTAAATTTTCAGACCAAAAATTGGATCTTCTTCAGCTCCTAAGAAATCCACAGTCTAATAGTGTACCTAAATTAAGTATTGGGTTGAAACTGGCACAGGAAACTGCTTCAGATTAATTTACATGGACTGAAGGAGGCCTTTCACATCAAATTCAAGACTATTTCTAAATTGCAATTTTGTGTCTGTAAGTGAAAAACATAACACTCCTAGTTTATGGATCATGTATGTGTAATAGAATATAAATTATACAAATAAAATGATCATCAAACCATAAAAGCATGCAATGAAATATTTTTGTAAATATTATCAGTTAATTAAACAATTTCAGAGACTGCTAACAAGTTCAAATCTTTGAAGAAAAATGTCCATATCTCACTGGCAATTAGCTTGGAAAAGGTAAGCACACAGATTTGTGTCTCAATACCTGTGATGCATCACTAGAGTTTCTATACAGTCTTGTATTTTCTGGCCCATGTGTAGCACATTAATGGTAGAAAGGAGATATGATTGCAAGGAAATGCTTCTAAAAAACATTTCCCAATGTTTTCATACACATGCTTTCAAAAGATGTCCATGCTTTCAAAAGAATATCTTTCTTTGAAGTACGCTTGAACTTGTATTATAGAGATTTTTTACTCTCATCCTGTTATAAACATTATTCAAGAAAATAGTATTCATGGCAAAAAATAATCTCTTACGGCATAACAAGAGGTATTGTTGAATTTTCAGGCTATTTGGAACTGGATGGACAACTACCCAGAGGAGTTCACTGATCTGCAGAGAAGACCTGATGATGAACTGGCAGGTAAAATGGGGGTCATATTACTATAGAAACCTGAGCAGTGGGATATTTTTGATATATGGAAATATATATTTTTTCTTTTGCAAAATGTTTACATGATTGTATTGATTGAATGAAATGCTAGATTTAAAAAATTTAAAACATGCATCATATTCCATAATTAAAATAATTGATAATGAAATAATGACTTTTGAAGAAGCTGGCTTCAGTTGTAGTTTTAAAAAGCAATACCTTTGAACATTTTCAGATTGCTGTGACCGCCTGTTTGAACTGTTCAACCACTTTGCTGAGAATGCCAAGAGAAAAGCAGCTGTGTGGCCCCTGCAGATGATGTTGCTAGTCCTCTGTCCAGTATGTGTATTTATTGTGTTATAGCGGGATCCTGTCTGTATGTGTATATATTGTGTAATGGGTGGTATTTTGTCCAGTATATGTATTTATTGTGTATTGGGTAGTATTCTGTCCAGTATGTGTATTCATTGTGTATTGGGTGATATTCTGTCGGTGAATAGCTGCTCAGCTCATGTTTGTACTTTCATTCTTTCTGACATGAAATAAACTTTGTATTGTATTATATTATATTGTATTGTATTGTATTGTATTGTATTGTATTGTATTGTATTGTATTGTATTCTGTCCAATATGTGTATTCATTGTGTGATGGGTGGTATTCTGTCCAGTATGTGTATTCATTGTGTGATGGGTGATACACATTTTGGGGCAAATGTCTTATTGCAAAAAGATGTTCTGCTTAGAGTCTTATAAAATGCTTAGAAAGATATCAAGCTTATTTGTTGCTATGAGTTTGGGTGCACTCTTAAGTCTTGGCCTCATATGTGCAATGTCTAAATATTTCAATTACATGAGGTCAGTGAAAGCTTTAATATATTTCATCTATATGTTTGAACTTGTGAGTTCATATATTTTGCTTTGATGATTTTTCAGAAAGTCCTTGAAGAAATCACCAACTCAGATGCAGGAGCCCCATGCTCTCCAGATCATCTGAAAAAGGTATGTGGACTTCAGTAAGAATGTATAACTATACCAAGCATCAAGATATATCAGCACAGTGAAATACCTTTCTTAGAATATTGCTAGCCTACTACAGTTTTATTCATGTTTTCAGGCAACAAAACGTGCCCTTTTTAAAGATACATACAATCAATAAACATTGTTGCGTGTAAAACATACGTGCAGCCTGAAAAAAGATAGTGTGATAGCACATCATGATAAATTATTCTTAATTTCCAGAAACATTTTGTGGATGAGTTGAAGAAGGCCCTCTCACATCATGGCTACTCCAAGCAGCTGACCGAGGCTGCGGCAGTGACATCTGTCAAGCTGTGTAAAGTATCAACTTACATTAACATAGCCGATAGGACAAATGTGGTCTTTGTGCTGGTCCAGCATGTCTTTGCTGACCTACGGGTAAGCTTAATGGCCTTTGTTTTTTGTATGAGATGTTGTTGTTATTAAGGGTCAACTGTAAGATACATTTTTTTTCTACTGTCAAATTTGTTGCTTGTGTTAATAAGTTTTATTTTCTATTGTCACATGTATTGCTTGTGGTAAGAAGTTTTATATGCTTGTGCTAAGAAGTTTTATAGTCAGAAGATAGTTATAGATGATCCATGTTATCTCCAATATTTGAATAAAGGCACTATATTTGATTATCTTCCAGAATCACCTGTTCAACCAAGTGAAGCCTTTCTCTCGTGGCCCTAGCAGTGTATCCCAAGACATAGATCTGATGATTGACTGTTTTGTCTCCTTCTTCCGTATTATTCCTCACCATAACGATGTCCTGAAGATCTGCCTGCATCCTAGCTCCCCCTCCACATATCACTTTGTGCTAGTAAATGCTCTTCACAGGATCATCACACAGGTAGAGGAGGAAACATATACTAAGTTCATTCAAGTCTTTTTTAGATAAATGAATATAATCAGTTTTCCAGCTTAATTAGAATGAGATATATGTATAACTCTGATATTGGCACTTGCATTTAGCAACTTCGTTCATGTGTTTTGTAGATAAGTGAGTGGATTTTATTAGTCTTCCAGTAACTTTAGAATGAGAAATATGTATCACTCTGATAATGGAACTTACATCTAGCAACTGACTGACGTTGCAGTCTCAACCTGAGACCTTGCACTAGGTCAGTGACCTGGATTGATTGGTCACCTGGTCAGTTGTCATACAGCTTACAGCAGTCTCCATTTCTCTTTTCCAGATACTTGAACCTATTGGATAATCACTCTTGAGTTTTCTGTTTTGTCTTTATAACACTTGACAAAAGTTTTATTTCTTAATATCCGTGGTAATACTGAGATGATAACAATTGTGAATATAAATGGTTTAATGACAGAATGATGAAAAGAATGTAACAGTGAAAAATTGGCCAAGGTTATTGATGTATTTGATTGATAGTGTTTCATTTTCAGCCCCGGTTGTCTTGGTGGCCCAAGATTGACATCATCTATGGCAAAGCCCATGAACTAAGAAATATGTTCACAGATACACTGAATAAGGTGTCCCAGGGGTTGAGTGGCCACACCCCTCTCCGACAGCAGGTATGATAGTTATAACACAAGCAGCTTGTCGTGACATCATATCAACAGTACATATATAAGGATAAGAGAAGAGGTTTTATTTATTTATTTATTTATTTATTTATTTATTTATTTATTTGGAAATGCCTTGGTTCTGACAGAGTTCAGCTGTGTTGTGTAAAACGGTTACAGCCAGTATTAATGTGAAGAGAGCAATATCACTAGATTAGTAAAAAGTGGATAGGCATATGAAGCTAAAGGAACTGGTTAATGAAAAATCGCAACTTTGTTATTATAATAGTACAAGTATTATTGAATATAATATTTCAGTGGAAAGAGAAAGTGCCTGGTTTGAAGTTCACCAAAGAAAAGAATCCTGATGAGGGGCCAAACTACAAGTACCTCTTGTTGTGGATTGTACGGCTTATCCATGCTGACCCTATACTTATGTTACATGTAAGTTAATCCTGTAACATGTAGCACCCCTGGGACCTTTTCAAATAGTTTGGTTTGTTAGCTTAAAAGTGTCCCTTTCACATAGGTAGAAAAATATAGTGTAAGTGAAGGAGCTTAAATGTAAACTAATTAAGTAAGGCATTTTGTAAAAATTGTATTTATAGATTGTCAATAGTCAGTGCAACTTGAAGGCTCAATTAGTTTATTGTTTTTTATGGTTTTGTAATTTTTGTTCATTTCAATTCCAACCTTACTGTTCTAGAATCCCGGTCGTGCTGGTCATGAAATCCAAAGCAGCACGTTGGAGCTGATCAATGGTTTAGTGTCCCTGGTTCACCAGCAGTCTATGCCTGATGTGGCACAGGAAGCCATGGAGGTGAAGCTTGCTTTATTATGTCACTGGAATAGTTATGGATGTTTTTATATTCAATTATATTATGTCAGTGATTTTAAGGTATCCACAACTAATTGATAAGAAAGGTAAGTGTTAGCATGAGAATGATTCAGTCAAGGAGAAGTGAAATTATTTTAAGCTGATATATGGGAAATTATTGTGTTTTTATTCGATAAGCATGTGGATGAAATTTACTTAAATGTGTTTGAATATGCCCTTTTTAAACCTTTTCCTTTTTCCCTGCACTGTAGGCCTTGTTATGTTTACATGAGCCAGCTACTATTGAACTGTGGAACCCTGAGGCTCCCATTAATACTTTCTGGGATGTAAGGTAGGCTTTTGTATTTGTGTGTTTTTGTATGTATGTTTCATAAAACAGTTGGTGAAATATAACACTACTATAAAATTAATGTACAAAAAATAGCAAAAAAAAAAGTAAATAAAAATATATTCCCTGAAATTTCAATGCAACCTGTATAACCAAGATATGTCATTCAAAATCATTTATAATTTTTTGCTATTATATACAGGTCAAATAATGCATATTTTGATATATCAGTCCGTTTTGATATTTCTGGATTGATGGTGTTCATATCATTTTTTAATTTTAAGACACATTAAAAATGCCACCTAAGTATTTACTCTATTAGAGATTTCATTGCATTTTCTTCAGCTCCCAGGTGCTATTTTCCATTTCCCAAAAGCTTATTCAGCACCAGATAGTGAATTACACTGAAATTTTGAAGTGGCTGAGAGAAATTTTGATCTGTCGTAACAATTTCCTGCAAAGGCACAAGGACTATGCTAACGTTGGGAGCAATATTCCCATCTGCAGACAGGCTCACATAAAACTGGAGGTAGATCTTTCCTTTTATAGTTTGTAATTCTTGATACATCCAGTTTTACTTATTTTAATTTTTGCTGATGAAAGGAACAGTTTTGATAAATGAGAAGCAAGACTAAATCAGCTGAAGGGTTAACCAGCATCTGTGATTATTCTTTTAAGAGAAGTCATAATTGTATTTTAGTCTCTATCAAAGTAAATGATGCATGTTAGCTTGTCTTGGATGGTCATTTGGTGGTCAACATTTTGATGTTGATTTTTTTTTTCAGCAAATATTTTGTTTACAGTGAATGAATGTATGTAAAAATAACCTACGTGTGGTATATAATTATTTGAAAATGTTAAATTTAATCATAGATGCTTTAAGTAAATGGTTAAATGACAAGATACAATACCAACTATTGGTCAAAAAGCCATTCTTTGTACTTGAGTTTGATCATTGTACTTTCTATTCAAATATCATTGCACATTGTAACACAATTGGCTTGTTTTTGTTTCAGGTTGTTTTCTTCATGTACCTGTGGAGCATAGACATAGATGCAGTGCTGACTGCCATGTCCTGCTTCCGTCTGCTGTGTGAAGAGGCAGACATCCGCTGTGGATCTGACGAGTTGGCGGTCACACAGCTCCTCCCTAACTACAGTGTGTATGCTGAGCTAGCCCAGGCCAGTATGGAACTGACCACAGGTCAGTCAGTTGGTATTGTGATATTTGAAAAAAAATGAATCTCACTTCAGAAATGTTGATATGTGTGTCTGCTGTTATTTTGTAAAGTGGAATCCTAAAAGTTCGGATATATTTTGGAAAAGTATTGCAAAGTTTATTTTGGGAGATTATAATTTTAGGGAGAGCTGCTCTGCAGAAGAGAATTATGGCCTTGTTGAGAAAAATTGAATACTCTACAGCTGGTAACTATCAGGTAGGTTTCTAGATTGACAACATTGTATATTTTAGAATTTTCTTTAAAAAATTAAGATCTGACTAAAACACAGCTATGTAGGTTGCCATTGCTGTACCGTGTCTTATATATTTTAGGCTTGGGAAGATACCTTCATGAATTGGGAAAGTGCTACCAGATATCTGGTGACCTATCCCAAATCCAAACTGGATGATGGCAGCTTGATCGGGGATACATTTCATAGAGCCAACAAGAGGAGAGCCTCCTCACATCAAAGTACAGAACATGATCTTGAGGTACAGATATGTTTTAAAAAGTGGGAATTTGATATATTTACATGTCATAAATAAAAGAAATAAAATTTAATGAATGCTACCGAATTTATTTAGGTTTGTCAAAGAATTCAAAAATATTGATGGATAATAAGGAGATAATCTATGAAATCTTTAGGTATAATTTTATTGTATTGTTATTTTAATGTAAATATTATTGTATTTTAAGGACATGCTAAATGAGTGGGCCAACATGACAGGGTTCCTGTGTGCCCTGGGCAGCGTGTGTCTCCAGAACAAGGCTGTCTTGAGGTCCAATGTGGGATCCCTGCCTTCCCTGGAGAGCAGGAAAGCTAGTGTCATCTCATGCCACACCTCAGAGTCACAGTATTGCCCTGTTACACAGTAAGGAAAGATTTCATTGGGTATTTTTTCATCTAGTTTGAATTATGAGTATTGCTTTATGTATACTGATAGCAATGCCAGCATTATATAAATTTTTTCTCAGCATAGTAAATTAAAGATGCATACAAAGTCAATTTTTTGTCACAAAAGCCAACCAAATGCCAGCATATAGTTTCAAGTAGTATAACTAAGAGAATTACCAAAAGGCATTGTTTAATTTTACCCGAAAATGATGTTTGAACAGATTTTTCTGCTGGCATTCTAAGCTGTATGTCAATGGGGCAGGAAAGTAGGTCATGAATGTAGGTTAAATTTACAACCATAAATTTAAAGAAAGGAGCCGTCTAAAGGTCTTTTATGGTTGATCGAGTGATCTATTCAGTTTATCCCTTGGCATGTCGAATTTATTTGGGTCATATAAGAATCTAGTAGAAGTGGTTTACAAGTGTTACTGGGAATCCACGCTCCACCGATGTTCGGTTCGTATGTACCTTTAACCTTCCCAAGACCTATCTAGGTCAAAAATACTTCAAACATAAAGCTGGGCCTATAAGCAGTAGAACTTTAAAAATATTTTATTATAACTTGATAAGGTTTGTGTGGTCATCACTATGAGATGGCTAAAAGGAGGAAGAGAAGTTGCTTATTCCGGAGAATAGGGACTAGACGGTACACCAATTTAAACAGACCTTTTTACCATTTCACATTTTACTTTCTCCATTTCATCATCTGTCATATTATCCATGTTCTAGATTTATTGGCAACCTGTTGAAGCTGTTGGTGTGTCAGAATGAGAAGTTTGGTCCACAGATACAGAAACATGTCAAAGAACTTGTAGGACATGAACTGAACTCTGCCGTGTACCCCATCCTCTTTGACCAGATTAAAATATGTGTAGAGAAGTGCTTCGATTCAGCAGGACAGGTGAGAAATATACTTGTTGTGTTAAAGTTTGTGAGTTTAACAATTTTTAGTGCAGTTAATTGGATAAAAGTCTGTCATTCATTTGCCATAAGTGATTTATCGACTCAACAGTCAACAGAGTTTTGGGTAACTACACAAAATGCGTGACTGTGTGTGAGGGTGTATATGGGTAACGATGGGGGAAAAAAGTAACGTGGTTCAATGTTGATATTATCACAGGTTATAGTAAATGATTGGAACACCCAGTTCATAGAGAATGTGATCTTTATAATGAAGAACATTCTGGAGAGTCGCCCAGATCAGCCGTGCGAGCATCTTGGAGTGACCAGCATTGAATCACTGATGTTGGGTATTGTCAAGTGAGTAAATACTTACTTTGAGAATTATTATTTTACAGCAATTCATGAATTTGATTATTAAAGTAAAAGAATTGTTGAAACACCATTTACATTTAATCATACAGTGTTCCACTAAGATAATGCTGTATGCAGACTTTTATTAATCAAACTGTCCTCATCATCCGATTGCTTGCTTCCAGGTACGTCCGTCATCTTGACTCTAATGTTCATGCTATACAAATCAAGACAAAGTTGTGTCAGCTGGTGGAAGCTGTGAGTATCATCTGTCTTATTAATTTGAAAAAAATACGGATTAAAACAGATACAGAGCCAGTGCTGTTGGTGTTTCATGGTGTTGAACTGTGGTATTTTTAAATTTGACCCAAAGAAATTTGTTCAAATTTTTGAAATAAGAAAAATTTAAATTTCATACAATAGACAAGGATGTTAATGAAGTTCCCTAATGAATTTGTATAAATTTTGATTTCTTTTAGGCATCAGGCTTTTTCGTTTTCCTAAAAATACAAATTCCAGTTGGATCACCTTAACTTGATTTATTGTGAATAGAGTTAATTTCTTGGTCCTTACATTCCAGATGATGAACCGTAGGGATGACCTGACATTCCGCCAGGAAATGAAATTTCGGAACAAACTGGTGGAGTACTTGACTGACTGGATCATGGGGAATTCTCATCAGTACAATGCTCAGGATGTTAGTCATATGTCAAGGTAGGCCTAAATAGAAAAAAATTGAAAAATTGAAGTCCTTTGCAAGTAGGTGAATAACTGAAAGTTAGAAGTTGACACAGGCATAACATATGTTTAAGAGTTTATGATGGCTTGCCACATTGTTCAGCCTTTGCCATATACTTCATCTACCAATGTTTCAGCACTCCATTTTTACAGTTCCTGTATTTGTGATTTTCCTTGATAACTGAAATTAATTTAAGAGTTTCTCTGTGGTTTAAAGGTGTAACATTGACTGTAGTTCAGCATGTCCACTCCTAGGTTGACCCTGTCCAGAGACTTGGACCAGGCCAGTATGGAGGCAGTAGCCGCCCTGTTAGCTGGCTTACCACTCCAGCCAGAGGAGAGTGACCGTGGTGACCTCATGGAGGCAAAATCTCAGTTGTTTTTAAAGTAAGAAAATGGTTAAATATGTATAAAATATCTGAGGAGGGCTTGAATAAGTTTATGCTATAGAAAAAAATAAAACATTTTGATTGTATTTGAATTAGTGGATACTTCATGTGGCTGTTAAAACCAAACTAGCTCATATACACTTTTAAAAGGAAAAAATTACAGGAAGAAGAATAAAGACATGAATAAGATGAAAAGAGAAAAATAAATAAAACTTTCCCTGTACATTTCCAGATACTTCACCCTGTTCATGAACTTGCTAAATGATTGTTCAGAAGAATCTGATGACAAAGTTATGGATGCTACAAGGAAGAGAACTAGTTCCAACCTCAGTTCCCTGAGGAACTGTACTGTGCTTGCCATGTCTAATCTGTTGAATGCTAACATAGATAGTGGACTCATGCACTCTATTGGTAAGAATTAAATCTTTAGTTTGCAAATAATGAATTTTAGAAAATATTTAGACATCCTTACATACTAAGTTTTACATGATTACATCAAATAATCTGTAAAGTCTATTAATTGAAACACACTTAATGTTTGAATCATAGCAATCGTGCACTTTAGAATGAAAAGACTTAAATCAGGCTAAATTGATTTTAATCCAGCATGGCTCTTTATTTGTTGCTACCAGGGTTAGGTTATCACCATGACCCACAGACCAGGGCAGCTTTCATGGAAGTTCTTACCAAGATATTACAGCAGGGCACAGAGTTTGAGACTCTGGCAGAGACAGCCTTGGCCGATCGCTTCGAGAGGCTGGTAGAACTAGTGACCATGATAGGAGACAAGGGAGAGCTTCCCATTGCCATGGCTTTAGCCTCTGTGGTATCTACACAGCACATGGTGAGACATGGAGAAAGATGGCCCTTGACTCTCTTTCCTGTCCTATTCATGTACCAATACTAAGAATACAAAGACTTAAAATGCTTATTTTTCCATTTGGCTATCTTTTTTGATGATTTGCTTGTTTCATGTAAATTTGTTAGTTGTAGAAGTCTGAATGTATAGAATGTATAGAATGTATTGATGATTCCATAAATTCTTTATATTTTTTATGTTTTGCTAATCAGGATGAGCTAGCCCGTGTATTTGTGACGCTATTTGATGCCAAGCACTTGCTGTACCAGTTATTATGGAACATGTTTTCCAAAGAGGCAAGTGCATCCTTCTACACTGAATTTTTTCTCATTATTTATTGTCCCAGTAAGATTGAAAGAAATGTTTCATAATGACAAGCTCTGAGGATAAATTATATTTGTTTCAGTTTTTATGTTATGCCAAGGTTTATATTAATTTTGATATTGATGATTTTCCTGTGGCATTTGTATTTTAGATGTAAATATTCTTTGTTACATCAGGTTGAAGTCGCTGACTGCATGCAGACTTTGTTTCGAGGCAACAGTTTGGCCAGCAAAATCATGGCGTTCTGCTTCAAGATGTATGGGCAGAAATACCTGCGCGAACTTCTCAGCCCTTATCTGGAGGAAATGTTCATGTCTGATAAGCAGTGTGTTTCGTATGAAGTGGACCCAGCAAGGTGGGATATTTAGATTTTAATGCAAGCTTAATGTAAATATTTTGAAATAATTGGTTAGGAGGTAAAAATTAACAAGTACATTATATTGTGATTTGTGTACCAGAACCTTCAGGTGTGTGAAAAAAAAATCATGCTATTAAAAGATTTATTCTGTTTTTTAAAGAAGATTTTTCAGTCATATATTCAAATATTTATACATGTACCCAGGTTATATATGTGAAACCGCTTTCTAGGTTGGAAGGGTGCGAAAGTATTGAAGACAATCGAAGACATCTCATGCTGTTGACACAGAAGGTATTCAATGCCATCATGGCATCTTCCCAAAAGTAAGTTTTGCAGTGATGCTTTATATTGTGGTAGAAAATTGTTCTCTGTGCTTTTTCAGTATGTTAAATATTTCGTCAGATATTGGTTACAGATTTTTTTCCTTTGGGCATGGGGCTTTTTTAATTTTTTTGACAAATTTTTTAGCACGTATTGTTTGAGTTTTTCCCCCATGACAGGTTGATAGAAATTATGTTTTCTGGTAGAGCGACAACTTTATACAGGTGATAGAACATGCAGTTGTAGAATTCTGGTGAAATGGTTTTTATAAAGAATTCAAATCAAATGTTTTGCAGTTTTTTTTCTGCTTAGTAATCAAGTGGCAAAAAAGAAAACATTTTCATTCTCTGTACATTATTAAGACCTGACTTTTTTCTAAGATAAGTAATCATGTGCTTAAACCAATAAACATTCTAGTGTGGCTTTAGTGTAGGGGCGGATCCAACCATCAGGGATGATACTCTCTTTAGGTTAATTCAGAAATCAAATCACCTTTTTTACATGGTGGGATTTCAAGAAAATTTTGACCATCCTGTAGAAGAAAGACCCAGAGGTCTGTTGTGATCCCCTTCTGCAGTATCGCCACCTATCTGTAAATATGTATTGATTCCAGGTTCCCTCCCCAGTTACGCAACATGTGCCATTGTTTGAATCAAGTTGTTAGCTGCAGGTTTCCCGATTCTGCCACAGCAGCTGTTGGAACTGTGATATTTCTCCGTTTTATCAACCCAGCTCTAGGTAATGTCCTGGGCAGGGATAGGACTTGATACACACTGCTGGAAATGTGGACATTTTACCAGTGCTATGATGTGACCATAATTTATATCTTGAAAATAATATACACAGATAAGAGGGGGGGGGGGGGGGATGTATGGTCTATAGGCATGTTACATGTGTCCACTTTTCTGCAGATAGTATCTTATTTGAAGTCCAGTCCCTGCCAAGAGTTTTGTCATAAAAGTTGCTTCACCAATGTAACTTGTCAGCGTGGATTATCATTGGCAGGTTCCCTCCTAAACTGCGGAGCATGTGTCACTGTTTGTACCAGGTGGTCACACAGAGGTTTCAGCAAAGTGCCCCGGAAGCCGTTTGGACAGTTATCGGAACTGTTATTTTCTTACGATTCATCAATCCAGCCATAGGTAACACTTTGGTTTTGGGCATGTGGCTGAATATGCGTGTATTTTTTTTTCTTTCTTTTTTTTTATTAATTGCATGAATGTGCCATTTTATGTGTTCATACAGTAGAACCTGTTTCTGTTGCATGACTGTGCAGCACTTTTTGGCAGAAATTTCAGGTTATTTCACAAAGTGCTGTTAGGGAGGAGCACGTGATACCCCGACCAGGAATGTTTTAGATGTCTTTTTTTATCTTCTTTTTCATCTTGGCACTAGAAGTGGAGTGACATGTTTATTTCTGATTTATTGATATCAAATGGTTGTATGTGCAGGTCATTTGAACTTGTGGATGTTTGTATTGGGCACTTTTCACTCAGTGTTTGTTTATCTAGAAATATCAATTTTTGGCAGTTTGTTTTTCCTCTTGCGATAGCTTTGCTTTTACCTTAATTGTTACATGATTTGGTTTATGAGGAATCTGAACCTCTAAAAGAGAAGAAATAGGAATCAAGTAAAAATATTTCACATCTACCTCAGGTAATGGTTTGAAAATTGTGACTCTGAAAAACTTACGAAATTGAGGTTTTTGATTCCTTGTTCTAAACCAAATAGAGGCTTGCAGTTCACAATAAGACTAATTGTTTGACTTATGGCTCATAACTATCTTTTTCAGGATAAAATGGTAAAATCCTTGTCTTGGGTTTTCTTTGTGCTTATTGTTTTGCATACATTTGCTTAAGCTGTGGCGCAGTCTGCCTCTTTAACATATTTACTAGTAATGATTTATTGCCCAGTAGGTTAAAAAAAGTTTATAATTAACCTTACATCTGAAAAAAATTAAAGACATATTAAATATTAATATAGTTGCCTTGTAGAATATCTTTTTCTTGTTATGGTTAATTAACTAATAACACTTAACAAGATTGAAGTAACAAATAACATTGCCTAATCAACCTTAGTTATGAAGACCAAGGTCCTTCTTTTTCAGCCACTAACAGAGCAGTTCCAACAGTTCTTTTTATGAGTGAAGCTACTATAAATCTATTGTTTCTATACTATTTGTATTGTTTCAGTGTCCCCGTGTGAGTGGGGAATAATCGACCAGGAGCCAACTCCGGGGATAAAGCGTGGCCTAACACTAATGTGCAAAATCATGCAGAACATTGCCAACCATGTTCTCTTCACCAAAGAACAGCACATGAGGCCATTTAATGATTTCCTCAAGACCAACTTTGAGTCGGGCAGAAGGTACAGGTAGCATTCTGTTTAGTCATTTTTGGAAACTATATTGTGAAGAGTATTCTCTGAACTGAGAAGAATGAATTTAAGTCCTTGAAGTTTCAACATGAATGTATTTGGAAAATTAATTATGATTAAGTGATGTTAGTTTTACAGTTCGTCAATTTTTTAATTTCAATAAACATGATAATTCTCTTCCATAAGTTCTCATTAAGTTGCTGCTCAACAGTTCAAATATATTTCAACAAAATGTTAAATTAAAAATCAAGTATTATAAAAAGCATTGTTTTTTTTTTTCAGGTTTTTCATTGAAATAGCCTCTGACTGTGAAACTGCAGACAGTGGAAACCACAGCTTGTCCTTCATAAGTGATGCCAATGTCCTGGCTCTGCACAGGCTACTGTGGATCAACCAGGAGAGGATAGGGGAGTACTTGTCCAGCAGCAGGTCAGTCCGAGTACCGTTTAAGCGATTTTATATCAATATGTAAAACCAAGTTTAAATGAGAACAGACCAGTGGTAGATTGACACTTTTTAATGAATTTTGTTCGCTTTTCTTGCAAATGATATACTGTTTTTTATTCAGAGATCATAAAGCAGTTGGCAGACGACCGTTTGACAAAATGGCCACCCTGCTGGCTTATCTTGGACCGCCAGAGCACAGGCCTCTAGACTCACAGTAAGAAAGATATTTAAAATATTACTAGTACAGTTATCTTTTAAATAACTTTTTTTTTTAAATGAAGTGCTTATTTATTATACATATTTAAATTCAAATACAATTCTAAACTAGAAAGGTTATCATAATAAGCACTGTAAACTTATTGACTTAAGTATAAAATGTCATTTATAGGTGGAGCAGCATGGACATGACAAGTACGAAGTTTGAGGAGATCATGTCAAAGTACAACATGCATGAGAAGGATGAGTTTAAGTCCTTGAAGTCTCTGAACATCTTCTACCAGGCTGGCACCAGCAAACAAGGGAACCCTGTTTTCTATTACATAGCTAGAAGATACAAGTAAGCTGGTGTGATCTGCTATGCTGTACATATGCACATTATACATCATGTAGACATACATTTATCAACTTTTTGCATAGATAAATGTGGAAATAATAGTTATATTAAAATGCATTTTTTGTTTTTGAAAGAGTTTTTTTTTTTTCAAGTATTATTTACATTTATACCAATTCACATTTGTTCCTCATTTCTGTTCTTCATTATTTATAGGGTGGGAGAGATCAATGGGGATTTACTCATCTATCATGTGCTGCTCACCCTCAAGCCATTTTACCACAAACCATTTGAACTGGTGATAGATTTTACTCACACGTGTGCAGATAATAGATTTAGAGTAAGTTTTAAAAAGTATGATTATGCCAGTAGATAATTATGAAAAAAGTAAGGTGTTTGGTTCATAGTTGGGTGTTTTTTTAGAAATCATTTGTTAAAATTTGTTACAATTTGTGAAAGGGAACTGGTGTTTTCAGTAAGAAAAATTGTATGGAATCAGATTTCAGATAATGACATGTGTTCTTTCAGACTGACTTTCTCTCCAAATGGTTTGTGGTGATGCCAGACACAGTGTATCAGAACATCATGGCAGCGTACATCTACAACTGTAACTCATGGGTCAGAGAGTACACTAAATACCATGAGAGAATATTAGCTCCTTTACGGGTAGGTGGCCAGTTTGACTTCTGAAAGAGAACTTCAGTTTGTTTTAAGTCTGTTTGATAATCTCTTTCACTGTTAGAGATTTGGTGTCGTCAGTCTGCAAACTTTCTCAAGTTTTTTAGATAATGTTTTATTTGTTATCATGTGAAGTTTGCTGATTTTATAATCAAGATGGTCTATAAGTCAGTAGCTTAATCTTGATTACCATGACATATGTTCAGATGTACAAACTACGCATTATATCATTTCCATATATTAACATTTTTATTAAGAAAAAAGTTGATATCTTATGCTAAAAATGATTTTCCATGTTTCAGTACCATAGGAAGCTTGTTTTTATAGACCACCCCTCCCGCCTCAATGAGCACGTGGGCACGGAGCAGCAGAAACTGCCAGGAGCAACTCTTGCCCTAGAGGAAGACCTCAAAGTCTTCAACAATGCTTTGAAACTCTCACATAAAGATACCAAAGTTGCCATCAAGGTTTGTGAGAGTCATTCTAGTTGTTGACCATTTTGATGAATGTAAACATTTCCAAACATTACAGTATTACATGAGAAGTTTTGACGCATTTAAGATAATAGAAACTATTTCAACTCTCTGCTGCAAAAACACAGAAATGTTTGAAAAAAATTAGTTTTTTAAAAATTAATTTTCTACTCTTCCCTTTCAACGTCCAGGTGGGTCCCAATGCTATCCAAGTGACCTCCTCTGAGAAGAGCAAGGTGTTGGGCCATGCGGTATTGCTCAATGATGTCTACTATGCCTCTGAAATAGAGGAGGTTTGTTTGGTGGATGACAATCAGTTCACTCTCACTATCTCCAATGAGAGTGGCCCTCTCTCCTTTATTCACAATGACTGTGATAGCATAGTGCAGGCAATCATACACATTCGGACACGTTGGGAACTGTCTCAGCCAGTGAGGGATTTTTTTTTTACAGAACTTTGTAATGATACTTTTTTTGTTGTGTACTGTACTACATTGACAGTTGTGTTGAATTCATGCCTTTTATTTTTTTATTTTTTTTTAATCCAGTTATGAAAATTATGTAAAATTAGAAGTTACTGTTAAATTATGGATGTGTAAACTATGCAAGCATTTATTTAAAAACTAGGTGACAAACTTGCCTTAAACTAACCACATGAAATAGAGATATTTCTTTACTACTGTATCAGGAAACTGTTACTGTCCACACCAAAATCAGACCAAAGGATGTTCCAGGAACATTGCTCAATATAGCTTTACTGAACTTGGGCAGCTCAGATCCCAGTCTGAGGTCTGCTGCTTACAACTTACTCTGTGCTCTCACCCAGACCTTTGACCTGAAGATTGAAGGACAGCTGCTAGAAACTACTGGTCAGTAGCTTATATATAGAACCATCACCACAACATTATAATGCCCCTGCTGTGAAGATATCCTGTTTTTTTTATTCAGTATAAACTTGTAATGCAAAAAAATTATATAATTAGGTTATAAGAATGTAGATTTTACACTTTTAGAAAGTAGATGGATTCTAGCATTAATATTTTGAGCAAGATTATTTTGTAATACTGTGAAGATGCGACAATACATTTTGTACTGTTATAATGGACATTGACGTCACATTTTTAGGATCAGTATTAGATGATTTTCATGAAGTAACTAAAACAGTTGCTCAAACAGCTACAAAGTAAATATCATTTTATAAGTTTTGCATTTTTATGCTCCATTTGTCTTTTAGTGTATTAACTCCTGACTCTTGATGTTGTAGGTTTATGTATCCCCTCCAACAACACAATCTTCATCAAGTCTATCAGTGAGAAGCTGGCTGCCAATGAACCCCACCTGACCCTGGAGTTCCTGGAGGAGTGTATCCAAGGCTTCAGGAACTCCAACATAGAGATGAAACATTTGTGCTTGGAGTACATGACTCCATGGTTACCCAATCTTACCAGGTAGTTATTTGTTGTTGATGCTTTTTTTTAAGTTTTTATTTATTTACTTACTTATTTTATTTTATTTTATTATTATTATTTTTTTTTTGCAAATTCAGTCAGAATTGTAGTTTGAGGTTTGCATATGTTTTTGATGATATGTGTAAGTTTTGAAATTATAATGTGCAGGAAAAGTGCTTGAATAAATTCATCTTTTTATAAGTAAAGATTACAGTCAAATTCACAACCAAATAAACTTAGATTGGGAAAAGTCCAGTTGATATCATCAAGTGACCAGATGACATAATACAGGATGTAAAAACTCAGTTGGGATTTCCATGTGATCTGGTCATCTGATGGACAATTTCTTGGACAATTTCTGGTTTAAGATTCTCCTATTGTAAACACTACCAAAGAGAATGAAGGCTGTGTGTAGATTATAAATGTACACTAGCTTTATAGCTGAGTCATAGGTGCTGTTGTCTGATTTTAGATTCTGTAAACATTCTGATGAAAACAAGAGACAGAAAGTTGCTCTGATTCTGGACAAACTGATCACCATGACCATTGATGAAGTGCAGGTAGGAAAAGATAATGACATATTTAGGTATTCCCATGAATTGTTCTTAAACCAGAACGAATCCTGATAGTTTAAAGTGTATGTGCATTTTCTTTTTCAAAATTTCTCCAATTGCTGAAAAAGAACGGTTGCTGTACTAATCTCTCCTTGAACATTGATGGATGCAAAAATAATGTGTTAGAGATAGTTGCTGTTGGATCAATGTCATAAAATATTTCATATATATTGATAACTGTTTCATCCACAGATGTATCCTTCCATCCAAGCCAAGATCTGGGGAAATATTGGCCAGGTGGCAGATCTTCTTGACATGGTGCTAGACAGCTTTATAAAGGTGGGAACAAATAACTTGCTCTGAGTGGTTGTGTTAATATCATCTTTATTCTCTCTCTGCTGTTTCATCTATTTTTGTGTATATTATTCATCTGTTGTATTGTGGAAAGGTTAACAGGGTTTTTTTTCGTAGTGTGTAAGTGACAGTCTGTGTGCCCTTTAAGCCATGCACACTGAAAATGTTGACTAGTCCTAAAATGTCTTAGAGTGGAAAAGCAGTAGATGTTCGAAAGAAAAGAAATGATTATCAATAAGATGTTTTTCAAGTCTTCAAGTCTGTTCTCATTTATACTGTGTTTTTTTTCCAGAGAAGTGTTACAGGTGGCCTTGGCTCCATCCAGGCGGAGATCATGGCGGACACCCTGGTGGCCTTGACCTCTGCTAATGTCCAGCTGGTCTCCAGGAAGGTCATTGGACGGTTGTGCAGGGTGAGAGGAACAGAAAACATAAACCAAGAATTTATCTAGGGTTATGGTTCTTGTTAAAGTAAAATTTAAATGTTGTGCAACAATTTAAAGGGTAAATCCGATGTTAGAACACAACTTTATTATATCTTAAAAAACTATGTCATATAAGTTGATTTTGGGATTATTTACTGGTGTCATGTTGATAGAGTTTTAATTTGATTTTATCAGAAGTTCTTAAGTTTTGAAGTCTTTAGGTGGATTGATGTCATTGGTTCTGCCCTTGGTTTTCAGCTGATAGACAAGACCTGTATGTCTCCTACCTCTACACTGGAGCAGCATTTGATGTGGGATGACATCGCCATCCTTGCCAGATATTTGCTCATGTTGTCATTCAACAACTCACTTGATGGTAAGTTGATTAGTTCCTACATAAGCTGTTAGACCAACCGAAAGAGTGAAGGAATTCTGACTATTTACAGTATGTGCAAAAAAAAAAAAAAAAACTTTTTGACTCTACTAGCCCCTCAAGCCTCTATGGTCTAAGTTCTTCTAACCCAAAGGAGAAACGTTCAGTAACTGAACAAATTTGCAATGTTTTGCGGGCCAGGCTTTAATTGTTCCGACATTTGGACCGATTTACACATGTTGTTTGGCTTATACATGTAATGATTATAACCCTCTGATATGATCTTCCAGTGGCTAGTCATTTACCATTCCTGTTCCACATTGTGACACTGCTAGTGCACACGGGTCCACTGAGCCTGAGAGCGTCCACACATGGCCTGGTCATTAATATCATTCACTCCCTCTGCACATGTTCACAGTTGGAAATGAAAGGTGAGCAGCGTTGACTTTTCACACACTACAGCTGCAGCAGGTTTTATTGGGTCTGGGCCTTTTCCTTGTTATAATCTTCAGAGTATTTTCAATAACAATGTTATTTTCACTCTCTGTATTTCTGGACACAAATTCCAATTTAATTAAGGAACTGGCTTTAAATGACTTCAAATTCAAAGACTGAAAACAAAACAAAAAAATGAAGAAAAAATAAATAAAATGATTATAATATATTCCTCTGATATGTAAAACATGATGAAATTGAAAAATGATTCCTGGCAGGAGCTTTTATAATGAACCTTTGCTAGTTATATAATAATTTTAGAGCATGTTCAGAGCATTAGTACAATTAATGACTAAATCTCCTTATTAAAATTACTCTTTGCAGAGGAAACAATACGGGTGCTGAAGCTGAGCTTGACAGAATTTTCTCTGCCCAAGTTCTACCAGCTGTTTGGGATCAGCAAGGTGAAGTCAGCTGCGGTGAGTGCATTCAGGACCAGCTACAAGGCAGGGGACAGGTCCTTTGTGTACAGTCCAGCAGAACAGGAGAGGATGTCTCTGAACTCACTGGAGGTCATCACAGATGCCTTGTTGGAAATAATGGAGGTATTCATCTGGCTGTGTAATAAGTAATAATATGAATATTTTGAAGCTGCATGTATTTTACAGTTTTTTTTATTGTTGTACTATATTTATTTCAACCCTGTTCTTGGCTGGGAAGTCAGTTGGTATCCTAGGACTGTGTTAATACCTTTATATCATGAATAAAGAATGATATAATTCAAGTTACTGTTAAAGTAGATTTGAACAGAATTATTGGGCTTAGTTGTTTGGTGAAGGTAATATGCATGGAAATTATGAATTAATGAAAGCTAGCATCTCTTCATCTCATTGGTGTTATGAGTTGTTGAATCAGATATATACGGAACTCTGCAGTCAAAATGCCAATTTCATGGAATTTTAAAGCAAGTTGTGGTTTCAGGCAGTGATGAAGGACGTTGCTCAGGATGAGCCACAGCGAGACTGGCTGCAGCAGTGGATTGACCTGTCCAAGAGGTGAGAAAAATAGTATTAATGATTTGATAATAGTTATTTATTGAACTGATATACTAGAGAGTATACATCTGAAATTGATTTTTGTCACAATTCTGTTAGTTAAGAGTGTTAGAAATATAAATAACGGACAGATTTAATTGTGGGTTTGAATTAAAACTTGAACCTGCTGATGGGCTGAACACCTGTAAAATCTCTTGCTCCCTTTAAAGTTAGCAGTCTCTTGTTGCTATGTAAAAAATTAAAAAGTCTTGAAGCAGGATGGTGACAGCCATTCATTCCTTTCTGTTTTGTAGTTTTTCACAGAAATAATAAAAACCTAAAATATATCATAAAGATTTGTTTTACTGAATAAATGATTTTGAATTTCATTGGTTTAATTGACATTTTAAGTGCAGGATTCAACAGAAATAAAAAAAAGCAACTTTTAATTTTAAATTTTAATGTGCAGCATATTTCTGTCTGCAGGTTTGCCTTCCAGTACAACCCGGCTTTACAACCCCGTGCAATAATAGTTTACGGTTGCATTAGCAAGACGGCTAATGACTCCGAGATCAAACAGTTACTTAGGATTCTTGTCAAGGTAGGAACCCATTTTACCTCTCGAACCTTTGTGAAAGAAATACGAATGGTTTGCTGAGATATTTATATATACCAGCTGCACAAAACGCCGAAATCGCTTACTACACACTGTGCAACAGTGAAGTGAAAGTAATGTTCTACCTATGGCCTGCATGTGCACAGCAGGGGCAGATCCAGAGCTATTTTCTGACAGTCTTCCAAATTACCTTTGTTGATCCATCCTCCATTTTTGACCGTCTTTCGACAGAAAAAATTAGATACCCGTCAGTGTAAACTTGAAAATCTGACCGTCTTCCAGAAGACCCAGAAGACAGCCTCAATCCACTCCTGCCCAGGACTACATGCACAGGGGGGGTTTGTGTTTGGGGGTTGGTGGAAAGGCTTTTTATTGAAGGAAAAATTGTGAAAAAGAAACTGGCATGTATTCAAAGTTGAACTAGGATCTGGATTGAAGCTGTGCATTGAGTACCACTGTCCGATAAGTTGGTACCTCGTTTGAGTTATGTCAAATTATAATAACTACTAACTCGGCTGTTTTTCTGACATGCATCACGTTATATTGTGTCTAATTGCATTATAAAATCGAGTCTGCAATTTGGTCTAATAACTCCTCTGAACAAAAGCTACACACCCATGTATCTTCTGTGTTTATATTTTCATGTTTTCCACCACCAGTGTGTTGGTTTCCTGGACAAGACGGTAAAGCATTACTTAGTTTGCACATGCAACTATACCATGTTGAATATTGAGAGAGTAAGCAGCAAAACTGCAGTGTCATTTTGGCATGATTGGTTGTAGCCTGCTTTTAGGTCTGTAGTGATAAAGTCGCTTTCCAGTGATTGCCAAAAAAAAAAGAAAAAATATATATATATTCAGAACTAATGGACCAAATTAACAAATTCTTTCATCAGTTATGAATTATTCTATCCAATCTTGCAGATCAGCTTGAATAACAGAAAAAATATTACCACAACCACATTTGACGGTGATGTTGTGTCCAATTTCAGTTCTGTTGGATAAAGATATTGAAGTCTGCATGTTTAAAACACCGTATGATTTGCTGTTTACATATACTTTCATTCTGCTCTATAAGCTTGTGCTATATGTCCAGCATGTTGAAGACGATGTGCAGCAATGAACCTGCTTCTGGCATATGTAACAATACAGGGCACTGTGTTGAACATTGAGGCAAAGACTCATGATTGTGTGCTTATTGCTTCACAAAGCACTTTGAAAATTGTCATCATTGGGATTGTTATATGTTGTATGATTTTCAGTGTAAATATTTTTTTATATTGACTATATGTACTTGGGTTTGTTCATGGCAGTTTAAGGTGAATCTCTTCAGTGGTTTTTAATTTTTATATGTAAAAGTTTCTTCCACCATTGGCAGGGCAAAAATTCCTTGTCTTCTGTCATATTATTAGTTTTCCCAGATTTGAAGAAGGCTGTCTTTATCCACACATACACCCTTAGTTTTTGAGTGTTAGCACTTGTAGATAATCCCTTTGTTTGTTGATTCAGATTGGCATGGGTTAGCAAGTAGGGAACTTGGTAAAACAACAGTATGGAACTGTATTTCTCAAACAGGGGAATCTGTCTTGTGAAACACAAACTGTGGTTATATACTCACTTTGGGGTTCAATATCTATCAGTGTTTAGGGCAGATCTGAAATTTAAAATGTGCAGCTTTGTTAAGATATAGTGAAGAAAATGAGTCATTTCATTTTAATTAGTGAAAACTAAAACTGCACAGAAGCCTACTACTTGCATTTCTAATGCTTTACTGTCATGTACTAAGTTAATTAATTAATGTTAACTTAGTTAATTGTTCATTGGTATCAGTCATTGTATAGTCCATGTCATTATTTTGTTATCTAGTGAGTAAATGTTGTTAAGTTTGCTTATGTGAAGATGTGTAGTTCAAATGTCACATTTTTCTATATCAATGTGCAGTCTATAAATATATGAGGTAATTAAGTATCTAACAAACAACAGTGAATTCTGTTAATAATATGGTTAAGTGGATATGTGCTTATTCTTTTATATGTTTTTACTCACTGCAAACTCTCATATTTTTGTCCATATTTTCTTACAATGAGGTTACGTTACTTCTAGATCAGTCACCTCAACTGATTATAACAGTATGCTTTAATGCAATTGCTAAAATATCTCCTGGCTTTTAGTGGTATATTTTCAATTTTGCTTTTACTTCAATTTTTATGATTGTTTAACCAAACAATAAACTACTTGAGGGTATTTTGAGAAGCAGGGCGAACTGCTAGGTATATTATAAAACTTCAGTTGTCTTAATAAGGTCATCATTGATTTTTGCAGGCTTTGGAATCTTTCACAGATCTCCAGCTCATAGATGGTATAGTGATGTGCCTGACCAGACTTCAGCCACTACTCAGACCAGTAAGATACTTAATTTTATTTTGACTTTTTTTCCTAGTGTTTTATTTAAATTTTTTCTTATTTTTCATACAGGGATTTTTTTTACACTTTTTATAATGTGTGAAATTATGAAAATCATGAAAATAATGTTTGTTTGCTATGTACAATTTTTTTGGTTCTGAATTATGTTTTTGTATCAGTGGCTGCATAATTATTTGAACATTCTGAAGTATTGCTTGTTCAGGATACATTATTTTCTTATATTCCACATATCATGACCATTATGTATAATCATTCAACCGGTGATGATTTTAAAATAAAATGTTCAAACTGTTGAGATTGCTAAACTTTTACTCCCTTTGTTTTTTGTCTTAGGATTCTCCAATTCACAAGTTCCTTTTCTGGGTGGCCATTTCGGTGTTGCAGCTGGATGAGGTGTCTTTATATGCCTCTGGGTTAGCTTTGCTAGAACAGAATCTCCACACTCTAGACAATCAGGGATGCTTCCAAGAACAGGTAAGAGGTACACTTGGAGTAAGGTTGATTTTTGAAGAGTTTCTTTAAAAAAAAAAATTTAAAGTTATTAAGAGATAGATGTTGAAGGCAGTTAGTGAAATGGTATTTGTAATTTGATTTTATTGTTTGTGTCTTTTTATTAGATTAACATCTTCATAAATACCAAGAAAAACTGAAGGTGAATGTTGCTTCAGGTGAATGTTATAGAGGTTTTTAGTAAAAAATAAAGTAGCTGACATTGCGTACAGAAATCGCTGATCAAGATTGGATAAACAATATTTTGATCTGTCCAGAAACAACCATCCTTTTTTGGGAATTTCCACCATGAATGTATATCATAGTAAGGCCTTTTCAAAATTCCAGTATCACTTGGTTAAAAAGCTGAAATTTTAGCCTTTTGCACATTTTGATTGTTTTTCTAGTACTTGGAACGAATCATGATGGCGACCAGAGAACCCCTTGAGTGGCATTTTAAACAGCTGGATCATTCCATGGGCATGAGCTTCAAGGCCAACTTTAACTTTGCATTGGTGGGACATTTACTCAAAGGTAATTCCTCAAAGTGCAGTTACTTTCACATATTTTATGGAATATTAGTTCTTGTGCCTTAGAAAATACGTTTTTTTTTAACCATTCCAGTTGTGCTTGGAAATGATTTGAAGTCAATTGCCCTCATAGTTAAGGCATATTTTGCTTACCCTAGTGACTGTTTTTACCCTAGCAGTTTCAAGTTTGGTCTTCTGTCATGCAGGTTTTCGCCATCCAGAACCCACCACAGTCTGTAGAACTGTCCGTGTGCTCAACATGTTGCTGTGCATTGTGGCTAAACCAACCAAGAGGTGAGAAGTACTAGTATTCAGTGTTTAGAAAAAACATGCAGTTCACTTCTCTTGTATTATTATACTCTTTGAGCCAGACAGGTGAATTTTAAGAGATCATTAGATTTTGTGGGTAATTTTAGTATTATATACTTCAGTTCTGTATGCTTTTGCCGTTTCAGAGACAAATTTGAAGTCACTCCAGAAAGCGTGCCATATTTAGCAGGTTTGCTCTATTCTTGTTATATTAAAGAGACCAGTCATGCTCCAAGAAACATCTTATTTATAAATGGAGTCTAAAAATGCTCATTGACTTAAGCAGTTTTTTTTTATCTGTAAATTTTCACCTTTAGTTACATTTTATACTTTAACTCCATCTATTTACTGTGGCTTACAATATTAGAAAAATATACTTAATCAAATTCTCATCTTCTAGCCTTGGTGTCAGTGTCTGAAGAAGTCCGCAGTAGATGTCACATGAAGCACCGCATTAGCCAGAGCATCACCGAGTCCACCTCGACGGACAGTCTGAGTGGAGAGCTGATGTCCAGTCAGGGTGTCCTGGTCGGCCAGATCCCCATGATGACCACACCCACCACCAGGAGACAGAAGAGCTGGGACCTGCTTGACCAGAGTGCCATGGCAGCTGCTCGGATTAAAAATCCACACTTGCTCAGTGTACAGGTATGTGTATGTATTTGATGGTAGAAAATATTGAGAGCATGTAGCATATAGCATATATTCAGTTTTGTGAAGCATTTTTATGATTTTTGAAAAAAAAGTCTTAAGTGCTTTGCTTTAAAATTTTTTTAATGAAACAGGAATTGCAGAATATAGATTGAAAAATTTTTGTCTTTGACACAAGTTACTGCAATATTTGCTCATTAGTTTCTGTCTGTAAGTAAAGTCTTAAGTCAAGTGATTTATCTCATTACTACATATATCACTTCCTAATTCTGAAATGAGTACAGTTTTACTTTTTCTAAATTTAATTTTTGACTATCCATCTGGACTGAGTATTGGAGTGGTCTCTGACTGACTATCCACTAATTTAAATCATTTTAATGGAAATCTCAAAACTTTGACTGTTCTTTTTGTGACTTGGATACGCTTACATGTATTCTCATTGCATGGGCTTTCAGCACCTTCCAGTAACAGCCTTCTTTCTAACTCCCATCTGTCAATATGTTTTTTTCTCTTTTTCTCTTTTTAAAACAAAGTCTTGTGATGCTACCCTCCAGGCTAGCAGTCCCAAGACCTGGAAAAGTCTGGACTCGGCAGAGCCTAGTCTGGTCAGACCGCCATTTAAAACCCAGCGCAGTAGCTCTATGCCGACCCCGAAATCCGCTCCCAAGGATTCGGTGGAGGGGGCTATGAAAAATGATGGGGGTGGGGCTAATGGGGGGAGTGCCAGTAGTAGTACTAGTAGTGCCACTACTCAGAGGAGTGCCAGGGGCTCTGTCTCCAATGAGAATAACATACTCCTGGACCCTGAGGTGTTGACTGACTACAGGACACAGGCGCTGTTACTCACTGTCTTGGTAAGTGGTGTGTGTGTCTGGTGTTTGTGTGTGCACGCGCAAATAAATTTATCTCTTATTAGTTTTTGTACTTAATACGTGAAAGGAAGGCAAACAATTGCTCTGGTTTACCATTCAAATAAACCACTTTGTATCACTACTTTATTTTGAATTCTAATTGAATCAGAATGTGGTTTGCTTCAGACAAATCTTCTTGGCTGGTTTTTGTTATATATGTTCATCTTTTTAGGCCACCCAGGTGCGTAATACCACTGATGACAATGAAGCCCGCATACTGTATGAATACCTGGCTGAAGCCTCTGTTGTGTTTTCCAAAGTATTCCCGGTGATGTAAGTCAAGTAAAGCTTACATATTTTCATGTCAAAATTATTTTATGAATTGTACACTTTTTACAACCTGTTGCATAAAACAGTCGCTCTTCATTGACTTGATGTACTACACACACAAACACACACACACACACACACCCACTTAAATTTGATTGCGTTTTCTTTTTCGTCTTCAGTCATAGTTTGCTGGACTCCAAAATCAACTCTGTGTTGTCCCTGTGCCATGACCAGGTGATCTTGAATGCTGTCCAGAGCATTATACAGAACATGATTTCCTGCGAGGATGTCTCACAGCAACAGCTGTCTTATATACAGAGTAAGTTTTAAAAATATGTCATATGTCCATGGTTATGAAGAAATTTTTTTTAAAGGATGTTTTGTGGCAATTGCAGGTCAAAATATTGTTTATCCTATATATTTCCTATATAATATTTTTTAGGTATTGGTTTTGGGGGACTTTGGAGATTTGCTGGGCCATTTACTAAGGTCAGTTTATATTTTTGTGACAAAAAAAATGGAAACATTACGGTAATATAAAACTGATATTAAGAAGATATGAAAACCCTTTTTTGGCAATTTGTGTATTTTATAGTAATATAAAATTGGTATAAAAATGATACAGAAACCCATTTTGGCCAGTTTGACTATATTTTATAATAATATAAATTGGTATTAAAAATTATATTAAAAAATCATTTTTGCCAATTAGATTGTTTATTTTATAGGAGACCTTTATAAAGTTTTTAACATCTTTTCATTTTAGTCCACTCAGAACCAGGAGAACGCAGAGCTGTTTGTGAACTGTCTGGAAGCCATGGTGGAAACTTGTCTCCCAGGAGACGACATCGATGTCCAGAACCCCTATCCCAGCTCTCTGGGCATCACCTCCAACCCTTGCCTGTCCAGTTCCATGTCCAGCATCAGTGTGACCAGTGTCCAGTCCCCAACTGATAAGGAAGCCTTGGATCTTAGCTTATCGGCCAGTAACAGTGCTAATCGCGTCCGTCACACCTCGGCCAGTCATGTGGTCCACAAGCCCCGCGCTGGAAGCTTTAAGAGGAAAAGCAGTAAGAAGAAGCAGGCGGGAATGTACGAGTAATACAGAAATATTTTGTGTAGTTGAAAATAATGTTCAGATTTAAAATAAATATTTATTGTAATGTTGTCTGGGACGAGTGGCAAGGAGATTGAAAGAGTTCCTACCATGTTTTTTATGAGGCGGAAATGGACCCAACTGAACTGAAAGTGGCAACGTAAAAAAATGTTGATGATGTTGTCTATACATGCTTGGGTCCTGTATTTGGTGCTATATATAAATCTGTCTGTAAACATGTGCCATTCATTCAGTATATAAATGTATTCGGGTTACCAGCATTGAGCAGAAATGAAGACCTCTCATTAGGCATGGCTTCTATTTATTTTTCTTACTTGGCTGATATTGGTTTGAAATGAAAATAAGTTCTTTTTTGAAAAGAAAATGTTCTTTTATTTTGTAATCATGAAAACATATGCTTATGAGTTTCATGGTTGAAATGAAATTATTTTCTCAAATTCAGTGAAGCAGGTTGGAAAATTGAATAATCAAGCAACAAAGGTAATTTTCATAGTCGAAGTCTTACACACTCCAGGTTTTCCTTTATATAATTTCATTATAAAATTAAATTTGAAGATTTACCACTGCTTTGGGTAAATAAAACACCCAATATATATATATATATATATATATATATATATATATATATATATATATATATATATATACAGAAAATCACTCCTAAGTCCTTTCATTAAATGTCACCTCCTGAGGATTACAAAAGGATCCCAGTTTTGCTAGATTTCAATTTGCAGAAATTCAGTCAACACCAATGTTTGCAAGCACAGGACATTTTCTGGTGTGCATGGGCAATCTTGCTGGATCCATAATGCAACATGATCTGGTAAAATTCAGATATTTGTTTATCAATTTAACTGACATATATTGCTGAATTGTTTGGTGGTAGAAGGAAATCACTAATCCTTTCATAATCTTCAGAACATTTTGTGAGTAATTGTTTTATTTTGCCATGTATAATTCATTGATGGTGCTTCAGTTATACACAAGAATGTTAATGCAAAATTTCAATGAGTAACATGGTAACAGATAGTGTTGGAGACCCCTTTCATCTTTAGTTCCCAGAAAAATAACAGTATCTTTTTCTGACAAATTGAAAACATTTGAATGCACTGTAAATGCACAGTCCTCATCAGTGCTTAAAACCTCATACTTTGAAGTCGTCTGATGTTAGTAACCTTATTTTATTGGATGTTGAAATTTTGTTGGTAACTTAGATTATATTTAATGTTAGTTTCTCCTTTTGCTTTTCCTTCTTATTTCAGTTCATCTTTTTATATGCGTCATAATGTTGCTTTATAAAATATCCATAAATGTCAGTTTTACAAGAATACCAGACAATGCATTTATAAAACTCCACGCTCTACTATTTACAAGAGTACAATTTTTTTTCTCAGATAAGCTTGCTGGAAAAGTTTAAAATCTCACAAAAGTTTTTTTTTTTTTTTTTTTTTTTTTTAGGTTAAAAATTATTTATGGACACACTTGAGGTAATTTTCTCATATCATGGTAAACTGCTTTAAAATAATGGAAAATTGAAATTAATCCAGCTCTTATCATGATAAGGGCTTAATGAAATGTAGAAAAGAAAGTCTATTTTAGATATAAGGTGTGCAATTCATTCTCTTTCAGCATTAAGTTAATACAGCTGTAATCCTTTGAACAGCTAGAAAGTTCCCCAACCTTTTAAAGAAGTTAATCAGACAGACTTAATATTTATACATCATTTCTCATCGTCATTGGTGCATATTGTATGCAGTAACTGTGATCATCTGTCATTATGAATAAATGTATGAACATACTTGTATGTTTTGGTATTGGCTTTATTGTATTTATGTGAAATTGTAAATCAGTCAACTTCTATCTTGCCTATATCAGATTAAGAACTCTCTCACAATCACTTGCACCTTTAAAATACCGAGTTGATAATCGATTCGACCCCAGCTTGAAATTGTCAATACCTGTTAGAGCTTACTTACAAGGCAAGTTTTAAAACCTGAAGTGTCTGGCAACATGAACCAGCTCATTTCAGCTACAGACCCAAAGACTGAGTTGTTATGCATCTCAACAGAACTGATCTAGGTAATTCATTTTCGTATCCTGAAGTTCCCCACAGCTGTGTTTCCATTATGACATTTCTGACCACTAATGGAGTTATTGATGATGCATTGTCATCCCAGTTCCTCCTTGCCACAAATTCAGTTTACTGTGGGATAATCTTAATGTTAGGTAACGTTGGAATCTGATCTTTCAAGTGGCCATATGGGAAGGTTAATCCTCTCCTTGCACCCTGAGTTTCAAAGGACATCAGCAACTTGCCTCTATACACTGTGTCAGAATGGATAGAAGAAAGGGGAGTTTCCAATGTCCTCTGAAACTCAGGGTGCCTCATTCTACCTGCTGTAAATATCAATTCCTAAGTGACTTCGCCTGGTGAAGAAATTCAATAAAATGTGTGGATCTAAGGGGTTCCTGCTCTTGGGTAGGATCAAGGATGTTAATGGGAGTGTAATGACCCAGTAGCTCTGTGATGTAACTAGTGGTACATGCCCACCCACATTATGGGCACTTGCCACTTGGTGAGGTCACCTGTAACAATATGCTGCCAGCTCATTATGTTTGTTTGGGTTGAACAGATATCTATTACATAGCAGCAGGAGATGAAAGCGGACTCCATAATGAAGGGATACATGGTCAATGGCATATTGTGTGGATTGCACGTGTGATAAGCAGCTGTCTTGAAAGTAATTTGGATACAATTAAAACAAGTAGGGATTTTAATTCGATTTTGAAACTGAATGAGAAATACTCGATGAATTGTGTATACATCCCATCCTACTGTCTGTATTGATCTCTTTATAATGTAGATTACTCTTCAAAAATTATGTAAAAAAAAAAAAAAAACGAACATTTACATTGTATAACAAATGCAGTTATGAATATTTTAATTTTGGAAAAAAATACCAGGAATGTGTCTCATTTATTTTTATGCAAAACATTCACATGGTTCTGCATCCAATGGACGCAAATTGACAATCCCAGTGTTGAATTTACAAGTCTCCAACTCTGGGAAGTAAATTTCAACTGGCACTTAAGCAATTCAACTCAAAGGAAACATTTTAAGTCGGAGTGTTTTGTTGGAGGGAGCCATTTAAACAGACAGAAGAAAGATGGTAATTTAAATAGAAAACAGTACAGAGAACCAACCATGTAGCAATTAGAGTAGCATCACATTACTGCCAGTAATCCATACAAAGTGTGTCCATTAACTGACATCAATATTTTAAAAGTCATTTCCAGGGTAAATGACCAAGTAGACTAGATCAGTAAATACTGTGTGACGCCTGAATAGACAAAATTACAGAAAATGTGGTGAAAATTATGTAAAGAACACATTTAACTGAAATCTTTCAAGGAAGCTTGAAATTCTAAATACCTGTACATTACAAGATAATCATTAACAGAATAGCTGCAAAATGGGAATCAATAATGTATTTGTTAAATAAACCTTTTATTTAAATGCTGACTAGAGTATTGTAATAATACCTATACCCAGTTATAGGATGTCTACTTGTTCACAAAAAGATGATATTGTTGTTTAAAATGGAGTTGTACATTAAAATAGCTGCTCGAGGCCCCAAGAGACACGAAAATTCACTCTAAGCTTTACTGCCATTTATCGTCAGCACTTAAACCAGATTACAAGTTCGTTATTATTATCACAGTGATTCAATCTTGGTAACCACACTGACAGCGGAGAGTGGATACCCATATGGCGCAAGCCTTTGGTACTTCTGATACAGTCCAATGTTTATCTCAAGTTTTGCCTATAGGTTTTAGTCATTGGCCACTCCACACCTACAGAAGGGATGAGTATGTTTATCTTCTGTGTGGAGCCCCAGCTTCAATTTTGACAGGCTGCACACAGCAATGTTGCCAAACTGCTTGTTGATATGTTTTTCAGTGCAGTGGGGGGTTTCTGTTAGATTGAACTCTTAAAGTTTGGAGTATTTCTTCTTGCAACTGGTTTGCTATTTGTTTCAGTAACAATTTTGCACATGTGGTGCTATACAGGGGGTCCCTTTTGAAAGAAACATCTTGTGATTTGTCAGGAGCCAAAACAGAATTAGAGAAAAAAAAGGAGTAAAAAATGGCCACTGCCTGTCTGCATTTCACTGTAATTTGTGACAACTTTAAAAACATTTTACTTGATAAATCAGTTAAAGATACCTGTTTTTCTGTTAGTTGTGTTTGCCAAGTGCATTTACCAGAGGAAATACTAAACTTAGTAAAATTGGCAAATACAGCCAAAAGTTATTTGAATATATACAGACACAGAAAGTATCTGCACATAAAACAGAGTAACTAGAAATAATTTTATACAATTGCATTACACAAAACTTTGTTTGGCTTTTATAAAAAGCAATTTAATAAAAAAACAGACTGTGACATTCCTAAACTACATACAGATTTTATTATATAAAATATGACATAACAGCTGTGGTCTCTTTTTCACAAACAAATTCCTTAAAAACTTTTAATGATTAAGCATTCAACGTCTCACACAAGACACTTTCTTGATGTCAGTTCTGGTTCGGTATTTTTCTTTAAGAGAATTCAATGTAACAGGGCCACGATTGCTTCTAACCACGCACTGAAGCAAAATGAGTCTTGGATCACTGCTATAGAAAAGCTTCCTCTCTGTGATAATGCAGTACTTTCATTTCCGTCTCCACAGGTCTAAATACATTGGATTCTGAGTACTCTGGCATGTATGGTTTATAGGAATCCATGCCGCAGACGGGCCCATAGGCTTTAGTGTCTGTGTACTGAGCTAGGAATGGACAGAACATGGCTAGAGCTGTGCCTACAATTCCCAACATGTAGGCCCAACCAAAGTGACAGTCCCCAGAATTGAAAATCCCCGTTTTACCACAGTAGTAGCTGACCAGTCGGGAATCCAGCCCAAATGGATAAACTATCAGTCCTGCGATCATGATGAGAACTAGAAAGAAAAAGGACATGTTTATTATTGAAGATGTTCAATTTTTAAATAAATCTATAACAGAACTGAATATAAGCATATAATGTAATAATATCAGATATACAGAAATTTATGGAAAAAATTCATATTAAAGCCTGTATATCTTGTGGAATTGCAATTTCAAGAAAGATGTATATCTTACAGATCCGTTTTTTTTTTTCTTGGAAACATGACAGATTGTCATATTTCCAATCAATACCTTGTTAAAAAGAGCCCCTAATAAACAAAAGATGATTTTCTATTCATGGAAAAATCCTCAACCATATCCATATCCCATGCTGCTCGGTCTTTGATCGTATTATTACATTTCCATTCGCTTAATTGCAGTTTTACCACTTAATTAAGAGATGGGATTGAGCTGTAAAACATAGTTACATGCTCACTGCTCACGTGTGAAAGATCAATGAGTGTCTAAATAATCCCCCATTGTTCTTCCAGTTAAGTCTTTAGCCACTGTACTGCCTAGAGAATTGGATGATATTACCAATGAATATTAAGGTGTTCATCCGTATTGTGCTGATAATTAAAGGCAAAGGTTGAACTATTAATCAAACTC